ATCGGTTAGGGGAGATAGATGAAGAGACCTCACCCGAACAATGGAAGTGGATACCGACTGCGGGGAACATAGCAGATCAGGCGACGCGTATGAACTTCTTGAGTAAAGAAGAAAGCGACCAATGGTTCACAGGACCGTCATTTCTTTACGAGGACGAAGACAGATGGCCTCACCGAAAGGAAGAGAAGGCAGGGGATGATGAAGAGTTGGAAGAAATCGTGGCGCACTAGAGCGACACCAAGGATGCTCCACACCTGGCAGACATAGAACGATTCTCTTCTTACGAGAGACTGTATCAGGGCCACAGCACGAGTACTGCAGTTCATCGTTGCCATATGAAGAAGGGCACAAGGACTGACATTACAGCACATTCAGAGGGCAGAGCGGATGTGGATAGAACGCAGTCAACTCGACAGCTTCGCTGAAGACATCAGCCGCCTTCAGCGGGGGAAGAACCTGGCCACCGTCAGCGCACTTAGGAAGCTCGACCCCATACTGGAAGATGTAATACTACGAGCCATGGGAAGAATCGACGCAGCCGACGTGGACGGCCAGATGAAGCGACCCGTCATACTGAATCGCCACCGATTTGTAAAGCTGCTTATAGAGGAGGCGCATCAGGAAGCAAGGCACGCCAACAGAGAGCGGGTGGTCAACGACCTACGCACCAGATATCATATCCTCCAACTACGACCGACCGTACGAGAAGTGGAGCGGAAATGTTTGCGACGCAGGGTACGCAAGGCGACCGTTTACTTACACCGGAGTAGACTATTTCGGGCCTTTGATAGTTACGATAGGACGACGGCACGAAAAGCGGTGGGTAGCACTTTTCACGTGCTTAACGACGCGCGCGGTTCATTTAGATCTAGTTTATTCCCTAACAACGGACTCGGCGATATCGGCATTGCGGCGCATGGCAGCTAGGAGTGGGTGGCCACGGTTCATATACTTTTTTTTTTTTTTTTTTTTTATAGGAGAGGGGGCAAACGAGCATGCGGCTCACCTGATGGTAAGTGACTACCGCCGCCCATGAACAACCGCAACACCAGGGGAATTGCAGATGCGTTGCCGGCCTTTTAAAAAGGAGTAGGCTCTTTTCTTGAAGGCTAAACTAAGACTCCGATAACGGCACAAATTATCATGGAGCAGATGCAGACTCACGACGGGCGATGGAAGAGTGGGCACCGCAGCTAAAGGACTACGCGCTGACTCGACGAAGTTCTCCGCACCGGGTGCGCCTAACCAGAGAGACGCATGGGAGCGTTTCGTGCGCTCAGTGAAGACCGCGCTCGAAGCCACTTTACATCAGAAGAGCCCGCGGGAGGAGACTCTAGCGACGCTCTTGACGGAAGCAGAAAACACCGTCAACTCTCGACCGTTGACTCACGTACCGGTCGACATCAACGACGAAGAGGCATTAACACCCAACCTCTTCATCCTGTTGGGAACATCGGGCCTACCAGACACTGCGCCGTGCACACCCATCGATCGTCGGGCGTGGAGAGCGGCGCAGGGGCTCGCCGACGAGTACTGGAGGCGCTGGATGAGAGAGAACCTGCCGATGCTGGTTGCGCGCGGGGCCTCCCGAGACGCCCAGCAGCGACAAATACAAGAAGAGGACCTCGTCGTGGTCGCGGACGGCAACCTACCGCGGACAGTTGGCCAAGGGGGGTCATCACGAAGACGTTTCCCGGATCGGACGGCGTGGTGCGCAACGTCGAGATCAGGACCAGGGGCGGAGTGCTGCGGCGACCAGTAAGTAAGATCGCCGTCCTCCCGAGAGAAGCTTAGGCTCACATGCTACGCCGGGGGGAGGATGTTACGGACGGCGAGCGGAGCCACCGCCCCGTCGCCCCTTCATACCCCGTTGCGCCCCGCGCACCCTGCACACCGCCCGGACATCACGTGATGCCGCCAACGAATCAGCGCGCGGCACACCTCACGACGCCACTCACATGCCGAGACACTCTCCTTCGAAATATAAGAAGGGCGTTTTGGCCTGTGAGCTGTTCATTTCGGTTCATTTCGGAAGCGGCACTTGAAGACAACAGCAAGAGAAGAAACCTCAAGAGAAATCAAGAGAGAAGAATTAATACTCCATTGAAGATTGAAGATTCCCCTCTGTGTATATAGTTTAGTGAAAAGCCGCTTGTAAATAGTTGAATACATAATCGTCTACAGTACCCTCTTTTCTTCGACAGTACCCATAGTATAGTTTACCCTACATAACGTCAAACAGTCAAGCTAAAAATCATACAGTCCCCAGCAGTCCCTAATAATAGTTATATGTTATTTGACAGCTCCGTGGCGCAGTGGCTTAGTAAAGTATTGTTGCGTTTTTTGTATGGCGTAACAAGTATTTGTATGGCATACAAATAATTGTCCCGGGTCTGGATGTTTGTAAACTGCCCCCACGATACAGGCGAAAATCCTAGTGTGGGGGTAACGTTTTTAATTTTTTTTTTTATTTCAGACCATAACCTATCTCTGAGCAAAATATCATTCAGATCTCTTCAGCCGTTCTGGCGTGATTGAGTAATATACATCCATTCATTCAAACATCCAAACTTTCGCATTTATAATATTTAGATAATAATTGTAATTAGTTCTGCCTACCTATATTTTTTTTCAAAAATACTTACTTACCTGTACTCTCTTACTTTTTTATATATACTCAATATCACTAAACATAAACACAGGTTTTTATAGACAAGTGACCCATCAAGATTGTTTTGTTAGTACCGACCACGGAAGTATAGATGTATTTCCATGGTACCGACCGACGTACCTACAATTTACATTTTAGTGTCTACGACGCGGCGACGTTTTGTGACATTTTGTTGTATTGTAGGTTGTACGTATCTAGGTAATAACAGTAGGTACCCTATGATAATCCCACATAATATACCTAGTTTGTCCGGCGCAAAAGTCTTCTAATAAATAGTTAAATTGTTTTGTAAATTTTTATTGATTATTTATTTATTTATAACATTTTCATTGAGACCCGTGGTAGCTCAGATGGTTAGCGCTCGCTGTAAATATCACATTACGTGAGCAACCCGGGTTCGATCCCCGCCGGAATCGATGAAATTGTTGTAATTTTATATAGTAATCGTATATAGACTTTACTTTTTCTTACTTTTATAATTACATTATATTACGGTCGAAAATTTTTAAATTTTGTCTGTCGTCCAAAACGCATCGTCTCTTTCAATTATATCAATTTCAATGCCATTGGGCGTCCATATAACAAAATAACAAAACTTTTCGTTTCGAATAAAACTCGAATAAGCATGCATGGGTGCGTGAGCGACGTCCTCCCGCACCGCACCGGGGGAAACATTATATAATAATAGAATAAAACCACTTCATAAATCGGTACTGACTTTGTTTGGAAATCTTACACTTCTTTTATTACTAATTTACGCCCAAAGTTGTGTTAAAATTGGCAATAAAAGCGAATCTTTGATAGCTCGTAACTTTTTAATGACTTTTTATTTTACTATTCTGTTTCCGTACAGAACAAAAATAATAATGAGACAAAACGATATTATGTTTAACTTTGGATGTACACTCTCGAACAGCGGAGTAATGCCCCCCCCCCCCAAACTTCTATGGAAATAATGTCGACTAGTGTCATCTTAAGCCTCACTGTCGTTAGATGGCGTTCACATTGATTTTGTAAATGTGTGCGTGCATCGTTCGAGGTCACTTGGCTCTTGTCTTGTAGTCCTCTTAACACATAAGCGTCAATCATGGTGTATCCATATATGAGTCATCATACTTCCTTTTTTTCGTCTTTGAAACCGTGGAGCTTGACGTCGACGCATCATCGTCTGGATCGGTAATTGCTGTATTCTCCGCGCGTACTGCTTTTTAACATTCAGCGTCATTAGAAGATTTTGTTGCAACACGTTTAATGGCTTTAAGTCAACGTTCCATTCTTCTTTATTAATAATGTTACACGTCAGGATGGTGGGGTCAAAATAATGCACAATCGTTACTGCGTTTATGAGACAAAGTTTAATGATTTACTCCAAACAAAAAATTAGAATACAGCAGGCAGTAGAATAAACACTAGTTTCATATCACGTTTAAACTCCGCAATTCGCTATCCAGCTTGTAAGTACGTAGGTAGGAACTTATCGCTCCGAACACTAATCGACAATTGACTGACGAGGCGCAACGCGCGATCGCCGCTTTTATACTTAGTCCTAGACTCGAACTCGAACATTAACAAAAATACTCGAGTCGGCGCCTTTGATAAACAAAAAGCGGAAATAAAAAAAAAGAATTACAAAAAAATGCGTTGTAAACAATCTCGACTTTATTGTTTTTTAAAATAGAGCCGAAAGTCGCTTGTTCACAGCTATAGCGTCGAATTCAGAGGCGGCTTTTATCAAAGGGACTGCGCGCTCACAAGTATACGCGCGGCGGGCGGAGTCAAAACGTTCGACCAGTGACCAGAGAGAGATTTAGATTTTTTTTCTAAATCGCCGAACCCCTACAGGGGTATCGCGGAACCCTGGGGTTCCGCGGAACACACTTAAAGTACCGCTGCTCTAATACATGCAAGAGATTCTGCGCAGAAGAAAATTCAAGTTGCCTCCGTCCATGATCCAACTCTGGACCAAGAATATCCTCATCCCATACTATGGTAGACCTGTAAATATTTTTTTCTCCGGACCGAATTTCGGTGACAACAACCAATCTCAACACAGACTAGCCAGAGACATGATTATAGTGCCGGAGTGTATTCGCAAGTATAGGTGCACTCTCTATTCCCGCACTCTCATAATCCGATGGAACGGCAAGCCGACACGACCGGAGAGAGATCAAACGCAGGACCAACGGCGTGCTTTTCGATACACTTGCGTAAAACACCGCCAACTTCCTAATTCCGGGCTGGTACTAAGAATCTCTTGACAGAAAATCTCAAAAACTGTTTTTTTGTTGGATTGGTCTGAACCCTAAAATGAAAATTAACTAAAACTTACACTCAAGGGACCACCGATGGACGTCGTTGTCAAATTCATGCGGTAGATCGCCGTTCTCATCACGAGCGTCTTCCATATATTTGATGAAGTCTTCAGTGACCAGTTCGATCGGTGCAACGTAATTTTTTACGGTTTGCGGCTGGAGCATAGGTTGCTGTACCTTCGAGCGGAATCTTCGCCATTGCTCACCGTGCCTGAAACATTAAATATAAAGTTAACTATTAATTCTATACGCACAGCATAAGAATGTAATAAGTTAATATTATGGTTGTTTATGCCCAAATTTGGTCATGTTTGAACGCCACCTAATTGCGTTCGAGCTGGCGGCTCACCCGATGGTATGAAGGTGAGATAAGCCCCGAGGTGGGGCGACCGTGCGCGGTTGCGTGGCAGTGAGTCACTCGACGCGTGGGCGTAAGGTCGGTGCCCCGCCAGCCACGAGGCGGGGAGACCATCAGGCCCTCTTACCTAAATTCACGGCCCGTCGTGGATCAAGATAGCTAGATGGAGTACGTGCTTCTTCGTCACGTAGATATGTGAATTTTGCAATATTTAACTTGTTCGGGTGATGCGGAATTGTGCACGCGCGCGTCGAGTAGATATACGGTCTAGGATTCGAACCGCACATTCCTTGGTCGAGAGCGTCTCCCGGTTGATTGTCTGGAAATCATTATAATTGTGCCGTCGCGTTAAGTGCCCTTTTTTGTGTGTTGGTTGGTTTGTTAGTTTGCGTGTCAACGAGGCGTATTTTGAATCTTGTGCGACGTGTTATTATGCCGAATTTATAATTTGTGATAAGTGAATCCGGGACATTCAATGTCGAATTTGGTGCTACTGTCCTTGCCGTATCGGATATCACGTGTTCTATTCTGCGATGAGTGTGGAATTGGGCTAATCGAAGTTAGTTAAATGTACAATGAAGCTAAGAGACTGAATCAGTGACAGTGAAGAAAGAAGTGGTCCGGCGCCGAAGCAGTCTGGAGCGATGCAGCATTTTGGAGCAGCCTGGAACTCGGCCGCTGCTGGTCGCCTATGCTTGCCAAGGCCCCACACATTCACACATCACTGTACACGACTCGCTATCTACCATTACACACACTCACGGCCTGCCCAAGCCTTGGAGCGAAGTTAGCTCCTGATACAGGTAAGTACCTTTGCTTTCTAGTTTGCTCTCATATAGTTTATTGTGATAGAACATATTCCACGTGGCCATATTGAGGCCCGACCTGCATCTGCCCATCGAAGAAGCTGCTATGGGCCCCAGCCAAGACGACGTTTGCAAGGGCAGCTGTAGGCCGTAACAGAGTGGTAGCAGAGTGTGGTTCCGGGTTCGATTCCCGGTCAAGCCCGACCGTAGTGTTTGATAAAAATTAAACAATTTTGGTGGCAGGGAGCGTTTGTTTGATTGATTTAATTTGTGTCTACAATCACGCCCGGCCGTAATACGTGAAAATAAAATTCTTTTTTTTTATTGCTTTGTTGCTTGCCTTTTTTTGTTGTTGGTGGGTAGTTGCGAATTCCACGCCTGTAGGTTGCGCAAGCGGGAGTTTGCTAGAGAGATGCGTTGGGTAGGTAGATGGTTATTATCACGTAATCGGAAAATTATCGTTGTCATATAATTATGGTTGATTACTTATCAAAGGTCGGTTGTCTGAGCGAGGCATTTTTTGTAGATCGACTGTGATGTGTATCTTTATTTGTATTGTGGTTTGTATTTGATCTAATAAATGGTTATTTGTATTTGTGTAATTTGTATTTAACTTGATTTGATAGGAACGGTATTTTGTTACTCGTTAATTCTTTTTGTATTTGTTATTTGTTAATTTGTAATTTTTAATTTGAGCCGCGTAATAATTTGTATTTAGAAGTAATGCCATCGAGCGGCTAGGGCTATCGCCATGCCGTTTTGTGTCTGGGTGCGAACGGCGTTTCCTCTCAGGGCTCTCCGGGCCCTCGACTCCCACGGGTGGGGGCGCTCGGACGCACCCCCTGTCGGGGGGTTGTTCCCCTAGGGGCGGGGGGTCGTCACCCCCTCCCTCAGTATGTTGAGAGGGACTTCACTGCCACTCAGCGGTCAGCTAGACACTTCTCGCCCTCGTCAGCTGAGTGGCCGCGGCTCGGGGTACTACCGTTCCCCCTTTGATGTAGGCAGCCCAGCTAGGTAGCTGCCGCCCTAGCTCCCACCACGGCCGTCTCCACTAATTCTGTGAGCCGTCAACAGCTCACATGTTAATCTGTTCTCTTGTCGACGGCCTCAGTGAGGGTGTACCGCCCGAGCGTCGAGTGTTTGACGGTACGCGCTTTATTTGTTCCGGGTTCACACCCAGGTTAGCATCTGCTTAGTTGTTAAGAAGGCTAGGGCTCCATGGGAGCGTTGAATTGCGCTGTTAGGGATTGTTAGATTTGGTTTTGGTCGAGTACTTCATTAACGATGCTTTGAATTAAAATTAAAAATGTTTTGTGCCATCCGCGAAATGTTTCATATTATGATGGTTGTGATAAAAAGGGTTGAATTTAATATACTCCTTGAATATGTGTTCGTATGTTTTTGTAAATGTATTTGATCATTGTGTTTGTTTAGTTGCACGGAAAATTTAAATTGAATTGTGTGCCCTTTAAATGCTTGTGCATATGTTTGTAATTGTAGTTGATTACTGTGTTTGTTTGTTGCGCGGAAAATTTAAATTGAATTATGTTTTGTAATGTATTTGATTATTGCGTCTGTTTTGCTGAAAGGAAAATTTGAATTCATTTGAAATTGAATGACGCGTTATTTGGATTTGAATATATGTTTTGTGGATGTGTTTATCATGGTGTTTTGTTGAAGAGAAAGCAGAGATTGGATAACCCTATTTGTGCCGAAAGGAATAAAGAGTTATTCCTCCTTTGGGTTTCGCATTTGTAGGCACTGTCTAAGATATTTATTTGAAATGAGAAATAGGACTGTCTCTTACGTTTATTGTTTTGTTTAATTTGTCAGTTGACCTATGTGCATCGGTGATTGGTTTGTTTGAATTAATTCTGTAGTTGAAAATTGATGCATTTGAAAAATTGGTTGAAATATGAGCATAGGACTACTTGTATAACAGGCTAGCTAGTTTGGAGATTATCAGATTGAAATCAGCTGCCGCACTATTTGAGTAAATGATTACAAGACGACCTTTGCAAGGGCAGCTGTAGGCCGTAACAATGGTAGTTGCACGATTGGTTCGGCTCGACCGGGGAAAAACTACGCTCTTACAGAATACCAGCGTAAAATAAAAGCTTAATATTGCTGTATTGCATATGGTGAGTGTAGAGTAGAGGAGATCATTTTTACCGAATAAATTCTATTTTAGTCCTCAGAGGTTATAATCTAGATTTTAATTCTATGGGCCAAAGCATCCACTAACCATCGGGTGGACTCTGTGCTTGTTTGTCAACCGTCTAATATTCTATAAAAGAAATATAATATTGAGTTTATTCTTCAAACGTCATTTTCGCACTGCTAGCAGAAAAAATGCAATGTAAAATGTATATAACTTGTATATATAGAGATCAGTGTAATATACTAATAATAATCTATATACCAATAAATACAATTGAAGTGTCTGTTTGTAATATCATAACGGCTCCACTGATTGTGGTGATTTTTTGTGAGTGTTTGAATGAGTCCGTAGATGGTTTAGATTCACATTTGAAACCGGTAAGTGGCGCTGTTGTCGAGATTCATAACTCATCCGTGCGAAGCCAGAGCGAATCGCAAGTTTTTAAATAATCTATAACGTGAATTACAATGATGTAAAAAATTTTATTCAGTTTCTATTTTTTCCTATACTTGGCCATAAAAATGATATAGACATGTTTAAGTCCGCGCGTATAATATAACTAGCGACCCTCCCCGGCTCGCCTGGGTAAGATCTAATAATGTGGCGTTTTATAAATTTAAGATAATTAAAGACCATTTAGTTTATTAATTTTCGTTCTTTCTTTTAATGTGCAAGTATATCGGATAAAAATATAAGGCATATTATAAAGAAGTAGTTTAGATTTAACAGAGAGACACAACAGTTTCATTAATTAGTTTAAATTTAAGACCGTAGTCCTTGAACGTGGGAACTAATATAACACTTAATAGAACACCCACATTGATATTTTCTAGTCACACAGACGCATCGTGCAGTGTTAGTATACGCACCATGGACATGAATTCGGACAATTGACATATTCATAACGCGTATGTCTCCGTAGGATGTTCATGAATGTCACAAAAAACACGCATAGTATGTAGCCATTTGCAATGTATTATGTGCCATTTGCTTGTCTCACTAACTATTGTTAACCCATGTGTTATTTTTGCGGATGATATCTCTATCTTAGTACTTTGTTGTAAAGTAAATAACACAAATTATAATATACAATACAATACAATACAATACTCTTTATTGTACACCAAGAAAAGATAAAAATATCAAAAATAAAAAATAAACGACTATTGAGGGAAATACAAAGGGCGGTATTATTGCTACATAGCAATCTCTTCCAGATAACCCAGAAGAATAAATAAATAAAAATAAAAAAAGAACAATGGGTAGGGTGCACTAAAATAAAATAAAAAATAAAAACAAATAAAAATAAAATAGAGATACAAACTTATGCATTAAAACACAACATTCTTCAGGTAGATCAATGACCATAATTAAGCGGAGGAAGTGAGAGGGGTAGAGAGACAAATAGTATTCTTTAATCTGTTTCTGGAACACATTTAAGGATTGAGCACTTCTAATTGACTGGGGTAAGGAATTCCAAAGTCTTACTCCAAGAACAGAGAATGATTTATCATAATAAGTCGAGGAGTGCACAGAACATTGGAGGGAAAGATTTTCTTTGGATCGTAAGTAAGAATTATGACAGGAGGTGAGAAATTTAAAACGTTCTTTTAGATAGGAAGGACTAGATAAATTAAACAAGACGCAGTAGAGAGCAGAAAGTATATGAGTATTCCGACGAAGACGGATTGGGAGCCACTTTAGCTTAGTGCGGTATTCTGCGACATGGTCATATTTACGAAGCCTAAATATGAACCGTATACAGAGATTTTGGAGTCGCTCGAGCTTATTAAGTTGCTCCTTGGTGATATCAAGGTAACAAATGTCAGCATAGTCGAGGATAGGGAGTAGTAAAGATTGTGCAAGCGTAATTTTGGTGGCAATGG